CCCATTCCCTCCCCTCTAACTCCTCCCATATCTCCCCATCACTTTTTTCCTGATAACTTCATGTACTCTTTCTTCTTTGATTTATTTTTTTATGGGGCTTTTGGCTATTCTAACATTCCACTCTCTGAAGAGGTAAGCCGAAAATCTTTTAAGGATTAGATACAAGCTCCCAAATATTTTTGACACTTTTGACCTTTGGAATTGTTGCTAAGAGGTCCAAGGACATTGTGAGTTTTAGCCAAGAAACTGGCAATTGGGGGGGGCAGGGTCTTTTTACCCTAACTAGCTAGTGAATTCCTACCTCCTATTCTTATTACACCATCCTCTGAAAAGGTTACCCAAATTGCCAATAGGGAATAGGGACTCAGATTGCTCTGGCTTCTTCCATGCAGAACAGGGATGTAGACTGAGACAATTGGAGTACCCCTTCTATCTAAAAGATTCCAAAATTGCATAACACTTATCTCAAGGAGGAAAAGAAAGTCTTCGAATCATGAATAGGTAATGTGAAGAAGTAAAGGTAAGACTAGTTAGCATTGCAAGTTCTAGATAGGGAACTAGAAAAAAATCAGAACAGGGCAATTTTCAAATGTTCATATGAGAGTCCATTGGAATTTATTGACAAGAGCTTCCAAAAGCATTGGGTTCCTCCTCATTTTTCTTTTGGCTGCCAAGGCTGGATTTAAGAGTGATGGATTCAGGATTTGCGTTCAGGTATTTTGATTTAGTGTCAGTTCCCTCTCAAAGGCTTTGAGATAACTGAGGGGTGGCTGCAGTGTATGTATGACCTGAGGGTGTGCACATTGGAAAGCCTTTACCTGGCATGGGTCATGCCTTCTCTTCTTAGCCTTCCCCAGATTGTGTACTTTAGCCCTCCCCAAATCCAGGAGACCATGTATGATTAGGGTCAAATTACATACAGTTGGCTGGGAAGAGGCTAGATACGCCGATGAGGGTCCAATGATCCTCCTTGACCATCCTTTAATGAAGGAGCACAGCTGTCAACAAGCCCAAATGTGACCATGTTTAGCGATCAGCCACAGCTGAAGTCGTCATGATGGTTTCATGCAGAAGAGACTGCTGTACAGCATCATCTTATTAAAAGGATTTGGTGCTAGGATCCACATATGAGGGAGACTAGATACGCCGATGAGGGTCCAATGATCCTCCTTGACCATCCTTTAATGAAGGAGCACAGCTGTCAACAAGCCCAAATGTGACCATGTTTAGCGATCAGCCACAGCTGAAGTCGTCATGATGGTTTCATGCAGAAGAGACTGCTGTACAGCATCATCTTATTAAAAGGATTTGGTGCTAGGATCCACATATGAGGGAGAACATATGTCATTTGTTTTTCTGAGTCTGTGTTACTTCACTTAGTATAACAGTTTCTAGATCCATCCATTTACCTGCAAATTTCATTATTTCATTTTTCTTTAGGGCTGAATAGAACCCCGTTGTGTAAATATACCACATTTTTGTTAGCCACTTGTAGGATCACCTTTCGTCTGCTTAATCCAAGCTCCAGAACATTCTCTCAGAGCCCCTGTAACAGATTAAACTTGGAAATAACTTACATAAGCTAGCATTTTCTGTCTTTGTTTTCTGCAGGAACTGGAGGAGTTTTGGGTTTATAGAGCCCTTTTGGTAGAACTTACCAAGAAGTTAACATACTGTGTTAAGGCGGAGCTAATCCCACTCATGGAAGTGACCGGGGTCTTAGAGGTCAGTCACTCCTATTTTTCCCAACTGAGATTATGTCTACAAACAGAAAAATGAGGAGCTGGAGAGATGGCTCAGTGGTTAAGTGCACTTGCTCCTCTTCCAGAGAACCTGAGTTCAGCGCTCAGAACCCACATCAGGTGGCTAGCTTCAGAGGATCTGATATCTCTACTGGCCTTTGTGGACTCCCACACATTTGTGGTTTTGACACACGTACACATGAATAAAAATAAAATTTTTTCTTAAAATGGAGAGAGGGGTGTGCTGGAGAGATGGCTCAGTGATTAAGAGCACTGGCCTCTCTTGCAGAAAACCTGGGTTTGAATCCTAGCACCCACATGACAGCTAATGACCATCTATAACTCCAGTTCCAGGGGATCTGACACCCTCTTTTGACCTCCACAAGGCATTACACGACATGGTGCACTGACGTACATGCAAAGAAAACACTCATACACATAAAATAATAATTATATTTTTGTTTGAGACAGGGTCTCCATGTAGCACTGGCCTAGAACTTATTATGTAGACCAGGCTGGCATCAATCTCACAGAGATCCACCTGCCTCTGCCTCCTGAGTGCTGGGATTAAAGGCATGTGCCACTATGCCCGGCTAATAAAATATATATTATCTAAGAGCAGTTAAGACCACTGGCTGCTCTTGCAGAGGACCCAGGTTTGAGTCCCAGCACCCACATGGTGGCTGACAACCTTCCATAACTCCAGTTTCAGGGGAATTTGATGTCCTCTTATGTCCTCTTCAGGCATTGCACAACAAGGGTGCACTTAGATATATGCAGGCAATACACTCATACACATAAAAATAAATAATAAAAAAGAAACATCGGGGCTGGAGAGATGGCTCAGTAGTTGAGAGCACTGGCTGCTCTCAGGGGACCCTGGTTTGGTTCCCAGCATCCACGTGGTGGCTAACAACAATCCATAACTCCAGTTCCATGGGATCCAGTGCCCTTTTCTGACTTCTGTGGGCATTGCATGACATGGGCGTACTTACATAATGCAGGAAATACACTCACTCATACAGAAAGTGAAAATAATAAAATATTTTAAAATAAAAACGGATTTTTTTTTTTTTACTATTGTGAAGTTTTACTAAAGGGTAAGTGATAGAAAGAGTCTTGCTGCTCGTTTGTCATGGAAGGTGTAGTTAGGGTTCTCCGGAAGAACAGAGCTGATAGGCTGAATGTATCACAAAGGGGATTACGTGATTCAGGCTAGTTCGTCCAGAAAACGCTGCATGCTGGAGAGGCTGAGAACCTGGTAGCTAGCTATTCAGTTCTCAAAGCTGGATGTCTTAAGCAGTCCTAGTCTGGTGCTGAAGGCCTGGAGGATTCCTGGAGATCTACAGTCTTCACTCCCTGTTGAGAGGCTGAAGAGACTGGGTTTTGATGTCAGTGGAGGATTGCAGCAGGGTAGATGCACTCACCAGCAGGGCTACAGAAGAAGGTGCAGTCTGTTCTGGGTAGGGTCTTGCCCTTCAGTTAACCAACCTTCCTAAACACATGCCTCTCAGTTGATCCCAGATCCAGTCATGTTGACAACCAGGATTAATCATCACAGAAATCTTTTTATTTATTTTTTAATAAATGCTGCCATAGCCTCCCAAAAAGCCATTGCTAATTGAGAAGTAGATATAATAAGTGATCACCATTGTGAAAAGTTGGGCTGTCTCCCAAGAATATGTGTCCTATCCCTTAGCCTTAGCCTCTCTTCTTTTCTCCACTCAGTAAAGAATTGCCTTCTGTCAGTTTGGACAGTGCTGGTTAAAGCAGTGACTGGCAGCATGGGTCATTTACATTCTCTTAGACAGTGAGAAGAAAGGTCCTCAATTGGTTGTCAGCTTTCTGTCTTCAGTCAACCATCCTCTTCAGTTTATTCTGTTTTCAGTGTTTCATTCTGCTTGGGAAGCACACAGGTGCCCACTTGCACACCATTGATCCCCTAAGTGGATGATGTGAATATTTTAAGGGTACTGGTCTAGAGCATTTGTTTGAAGATGTGAATCAGTGCACTCTCCCTAATGCCTCACTGAGTCTCATTCCTGTTAGCACAACTGACCTATTAAGCCATGGAGGAAGCTACCTTCAGTCAGATTGCAGCCACCCAAACACATCTTCACAAATTCTTCAGTATTCTGGTATATTCTCTTCATATTTATTTTATTATCTTGGTCTATTCCTATGTCTTGCTTGTGGATTTTTAAAAATAATCCCAAGTATTCATCCTATTTATTTTTTCTTTAACACCATAGGGTCGAGCGAAACAGTTATACAATGCGGGTTACAAAAGTCTAAAGCACTTAGCGAATGCCAATCCAGAAGTGCTAGTAAGGACAATTGATCATCTGTCAAGACGCCAGGCCAAGCAAATTGTTTCTTCAGCAAAGGTAAGCAAGCAGACCTTCTCTAGCCTGAAGAATAGGTCACAGCATTAATGTCCTTTTGCTCTAGACATGGCAACATGGTATTTCACATTGTTTAACATTTATAGGTACAGAAACATGTACTCAGAATTTGTAGGTATACAAACACTCCATTTATTATAACACAGAGCTTGCTAAGAAGAGGAAAGAAACATCCTGAAAAATAATAACCATTTCAAGGGTTCATTGACATCTGGGGACCCCTGGAAGTTATTCAGCTCGGCCTTCACACAGCCTCTTCACAGGAGTCTTTCTTACTTTGGGACAAAGTCCACCCTAGAAGTTTCATCTGTAAATCCCCAAGTGCCCACCGCTTAGGATCTCTGCAGAGATCAGTTATGGCAGTGCACACTATGTGAGCACCATCCCCAAAAGTGGTAATGTTTATTTTTTAGTTAATTCTGTTTTATATGTGCAGTACTAGAACAATGATGTTTTTAAAAAGCCTAGCAGTTTCAAACGTAGAAATAATAACGTTAAGATCAAGAAGGCTGTCATCTCAAGTTGCTGTGTCATGGCTTCCATGGCACAGAGACAGTGACGACCTCCCAAAGGGAACTGAGGGCAGTGAATGGCGAAGCTGCACTACTTAATATAGACAAGAGAAACTTCTTTTCAAACGTGAAAACTGCAGCTATGAGCTGCTTGAATTTATCTGATACATTCTTTAATTTCAAGTAACCTGGTTTGGCCTTCCATACTGCAGCTTCATTCATGTCCTTGGTAATACACAGCCTAACTCCATCGTCCTGTCTCCACACTTGCTCTTTCCTGGTGTAAATCATTTCTTCTTCTTTTTTTTTTTTTTTTTTTTTTTTTTACTTGTTTTTTTTTTTTTTTTTTTTTTGTCTTTTTGCGACAGGTCCCTGCAGCCCCAGCTGTCCTAGAACTCACGATGTAGACCAGGCTGGCCTCAAACTCACAGAGATCCATCTGCCTCTGCCTCCCAAGTGCTGGGATTAAAGACATGCACCACCACACTCAGCTCATTTCATTTCTTTAGGTCTCATTCATTCATTCAAATATTTGTTTAAAAGTGTTAACAGTTGGACAAGTAGGGATTAAGTGAAAGGCATTTCCAGTGCTGTAGCACTCAGCACTACTTGTCCCTTAGCCCTTGTTTTTTGTTTAGCAAATATTTAAAGCCACAGCTAGTGGTCTATCCGGGGACCAATACTCCTTCCTGTCTTTTGCCCAGCCCTTCTCAGTACAGGGCTTCTGCCTCATAACCCAGGACACCCCCACTCATTCTCATGGTCTCACCTACTTGGCAGCCAGCTTAATTTTTTTTTTTTTTTTATTTTATGTGTATGAGGCATCAGATCCCTGGAACTGGAGTTACAAACAGTTGTTGACTGCCATGTGGGTGCTGGGAACCACACCCGGGTCCTCTGCAAGAGCCATCAGTGCTCTTAAGCACTGAGCCATCTCTCCAGCTTCAGTTTGGTTTTTTTGTTTGTTTTTTTGTTTTTGTTTTTGTTTTTTTTTCTTTTTTGGTCTTTTTGAGACAGGGTCTCCCCGTAGCCCCAGCTGACCTGGAACTCGCTATGTAGACCAGGCTGGCTGGCCTCTAACTCACAGAGATCTGCCTACCTCTGCCTCCCAAGTGCTGGGATTAAAGGCATGCGCCACCACACCTGGCCAGTTCGTTTTTTTAATTGCATGGTTTGAGCTGATGATTTTTTTCTTCTAATGATACACATGGGTTTTATATAGTTTACTTATTGCTGATTACTGTAGTTTTGGGAAGATAATGTCACATTTGTTTTATATGGTTACCATTACCTCAGATACTGGAAAGCCTACTTTACACTGTTTTTTTGTTTTTCTGAGACAAGATCATCCTGTAGCCCCAGCTATCCTGGAATTTGCCATCTAGGCCAGACTGGTCTCAGTCTCATAGAGATCTGCCTGCCTCTGCTCCCAAGTGCTGGGAATAAAGATATGCACCACCACGTCCAGCTACCTTACATTCTTAATTTGATTATGTAATGGTATGCCTTATCTAATTAAGAGAGTGTTTTCTTTTTTTTTTTTTTTCATTTTCACTTTGTATCATATATTTTTCCCATTAGGAGATTTTACTGAACTTTTTATTATAAATACAACAGAAGTATTACAAATATTCTACCACTTTATATACAAAGCCCACCTGCAACTAATTCCAGCATTTTATTTCTGATATTTAGAATAAAAAGTCACTGCTCAACAATCGTTTATTGGAATCTTCTAGGTGCCATTTTGCCTTGATTTTTTTCTTTTTTTTATATTTTATTATTTTTATTTTATGTGTATGAGTGTATTGCACCCATGTTGTGCAGTGCCATGGAGGTCAGAAGAGGGTTTCAGATTCCCCTGGAACTGGAGTTAAGGATGGTTCATAGCTGCCATGTGGGTGCTGGGACTCAAACCCGGGTCCTCTGCAAGAGCAGTCAGAACTCTTAACTGCTGTCTCAGAATTTGTAGGTATACAAACACTCCATTTATTATATCTCTTCAGCCCCTGCCCTGTTTTTTAAGATAGAGTTTTCACTATGTTACCTAATTTGGCCCTGAACTAGAGATCCTCCTTCCCCTCCCCCTACCTCACAAGTGCTAGAACTACAGGTGTGCACCACCACATTCTGCTCTGTGCCATGTTTAGATATGCTTTTTTCTTTGTACGTTGTTTTTGAAATTAACTATTTTGCCAAACATGGCAGCACACATACTCAGGACCTTGAGGTAGGAAGATTACAAATTTGAGGCCGGCCTAGGCTACATAGTGAGATCCTATCTCACTATGGGAGATAGAAAGGGAGGAAAAAAGGGAGGAAGAAGGGGGTCATGTTTACTTCAGAAGCTCAAGTAAAATTTTTCGTTGAAATACTGATGGATTTTTAAAGCATACTAAGTTTTGAAGCACTAAATATAGAATATCATTCTCAAGAGCTAATTAAATTTTTGCACAACTCTCTGAAATTTTAGAGATTAAAAATTAATTTTTAAGTGTCCAAGTCTTCAGTAAAACAGATCTTTGGGAATATGAAAGCTCCTTTATTTTGGGTACACTAAGTGCAGTGATCAACTAAAATAGTTTTTAACTGAATACCTCAGCTTCATTTACTGAAATCACTTTTTCTTAAGTGGCCATTTTTCAGTCTCATTTTCTAATGTGTAGATATTGATGTGTTACAGTTGAGGCTTCCAACAGACATTAAAAATGTTGGCGACTCTCTAGCAAGACACCTTTTGGCCTCACAACTGGATTCTTTATTGTAGATGCTGCTGCATGAAAAAGCAGAGGCTTTGCAAGAAGAAGCTGAGGAGTTACTGAGATTGCCTCCCGACTTCCCTGGCATGGGGGACTCTGCCACCGAACAGGCATGAAGCTGGACTTGAGATCCAGCCCCATGCTAGGGCACTTGCTTAGAGTGAGTGAGGCCCTGGGTTCAAGTCTCACTATCTCCAAGAAAAAAACAAAATCTAAAGGAGTAATTGTAAGGTGGCATGCACACCTCTAGCTCCAGCACTTGGGAGATGGAGGCAGGAAGATCAGGAGTGAAGTGTTCAACTACATAGAGAGTTGGAGGCCAGCCTGGGCTACATGAGACCTTGTCTTAAAAAAAAAAAAAAAAAATTGAAGGCAAAAGCATGAAGCTGTCTGATACATGTTTTCAAATTTGAGTTATTTATTGTATATATATTTCATTAAATATTCCTTCTATTTTATAAATGAAAATATTTTTAATTATATATTAAAAACTGGATGAAATTAAAAAAAAAAAATGGAACTCTGGATGATGCTTGACTCTACCTTCCTTCATAACTGCAGTAACCATCCCACCAATAACCCATTTTCTTCATTACCTACACATTATTTTTCTGCTTAAAGTCTTCAACATATCCGCAACCTACCTTCATGGTCATGTCTTTCACTGTTTTCTTACTCCACCCTACCCCCCAGTGGTGGAAGTTGAAACCAGTGTTTTCTCCATGTTAAACACATACTCCCACACCTAGTTGCATTTGCATCTCTTTTACCCATTTCTCTCATCAAACTGGACTATTTAAAATCCCAGAACTTGCCCTGCCATTTCCAAACCGTTCATGTCCTGACGTTTATGTCGTTACCAATACATGAAAATGGACAATACACTTCTAGTGTCAACCAAAAGTATTAGGATCCTATCTGTGTTAGTTACTGTTCTGTTGCTATGACAAAACACCATGACCAAGGCAGCTTATAGAAGGAAGAGTTTATTTGACTTACAGTTCCATCAGGGTGGGGAGGCATGGCAGAAGGCAACTGGAGTAGAAAGCTGACTACTCACATCTTCAAGCAGGCACTGGAAGCAGAGGCAAACTGAAAGTGGGCAAGGTTAAAGTGCACTCCCAGCGACATGACATGCTTAGCCTCCAGCAAGGCTGTACCTCCCAGAGGTTCCATGACCCCCCCGAAACAGCACCACCAACTGGGGACCAAGTGTTCAAATACTTGCAGCCTATGGGAGACATTCTCCTTTAAAACACTACATTCCATCCCGTGGCCCCCATAGGCTCATGGCCATATCATAATGCACAATGCATTTAGCCCAACTTTAGAAGTCTCCATAGTCTCAACACTGTTCCAGAGTCCAATGCCCAAAATCTCTTCTGAGACTCAAGGCAATCCCTTAACTGTGAGCCCCTGTAAAATCAAAAGACAAATTATATACTTCCAACATACTATGGAACCAAGTATACTTTTCCATTCCATAAGGGAGGAATGGAGACATACTGAGGAAATAACTGCACCAAAACAAGACTGGAAACCAGCAGGGCAAACACCAAATCTAGTAGTTCCACATCTGATGTCTGGGACTTCCAATGGGCTTAGATGGCTCAGCCCCTCCAACTTTGCTGCTGCAACATACATCTCCCTCTTTGGCTGGTACCATTCCCTGTGCACAGCACCCCCTTGGCAGATGTTTCACAGTTCTGACATGCCCAACATTTTGGAGTCTCCATTGCCAACTGTTTCACCACAGCCTCACAATCACTGCTCTGGGTCTGTCAGGGCCTGTCGGGGCTTTCCTTATTCAGGGACTCCATGCTGTATGCTGCCTGGTTTGAGCAGCTCTCTGAAACCACGGAGGAAATTGAAGACCCCTCACTCTTGTGTCCTTTATGCCTGTGGTGGTTTGAATGAAAATGTCCCCCATAAGCTCCAAGTGTTTGGACATTTTGTCCCCAGATGATGGCGCTGTTTTGGGAGGTTTTAGAAGGTGTGGCTATCCTGAAGGAAGCACGTCACTGGGGGTGGGCTTAGAGAGTTCTTAAGCCTTACTGGATCTCCAGTCGCTCTCTCTTGCTTCCTATGCCCATGTGATGATGTTAGAGCTTAGCTGCTCCTGGTCCAGCCACCTCCAGCCACCATGCCTCCTTGCCATGATGGACTGTAATTCCCCTGGAACCGTAAGCTCAAATAAACTCTTCCTTCTATAAATTGTTTGGTCAGTGTTTCTATCACAGCAACAGAAAAGGGACTAATACAATGCCTCTGAAGCCAGCACCATGTGAATGACATTGTCAAGTTCCACTGCCAGCTTAGGATGGATCATGGTCCCCTTGGATCACATTTGCAGGTGCTTTTGTTTGTTGTGATTTTCTAGGAGCAGAAAATTCCTTAGACCTTTTCCTTTCACAACTTGGAAGCTTAGCTTGGTGAGGTCTTGCCTTGAAGGTATTCTTGCCTTTGTTCAAGTGCAAACCTGGAGGCCTTTCCTTAATGGCTCTAATCTTTTAACACTCTTCCAAGACACACCTTGGCTGCCTTGGCTCCTAAACTATGCTCTTTTTGTCTCCCAGTTGTATATTCTGTAATTCTTTCTGCCCCACTTGTTCCTTTTCATTGTAGATCTGAGTAGTATTCACCATTAATAGCCATGCCATAGATTCAACATTAGGTTGCCTTGAAATTTCCTCCACCAAAGATATTAATCCATTACATTTTAATTTAGCCTAAGGCAAGTTCTTAGGCCAGATGTCAGGACAGATGGCAGCCAGATTCCTGGCCAAAAATATCCCAGTTGCTGTTTAAGTCCTTTTTTCCCTCTGGAATGATATTGCTCTCAGCACTACTATCTTCCAGGCTCCTACTAGAATGACCATTAAACTCTGCTTACAGTAATCAACTGCTTCAGTAGTCCAAACTTACCAAGTCTTGCACATTTCTCAAAAATATGGTCAGGTTCTTGTCAGCAACACCCCACTTCTAGTACCAGCTTCTCTCTTAGTTACTTTTCTGTTATAAAATGACCAAGGCATCTTATAGAAGGAAGAGTTTTTTTGGCTTATGGTTCCAGAAGGATAAGAGTCCATTGTGGCAGGGAGGCATGGCAGGAGGAGCTGGAGTAGAAAGCTGAGTAGTAGGCACAGGAAGCAGAGAGAAACAGATTGAAAGTGGGCAAGGCTAAAGCCCACCCCCAGTGATGTGCTTCCTCCAGCATGGCCACACCTCCTAAAGGTTCCGTGACCCTTCCCCAAACAGTGCCATTAACTGAGGACCAAGTGTTTATTTGGAGCCTGTGGGGGGACATTCTCATTAAAACCATCACACTGTCTCTGAAATTATTCTGTATTCACCCTCATACCCCTTTGCAAGGCCTCTTTCCTTCCTATGAATTGTGGATCCCTCATTTAGGCTTTTGTTTTCTACAGCTTTGTAATCTGCAGGGATGCAGCCTTTTTATCAAAACTCATCTTTGTACCCACCTCAGTTCACAGAGGAGGAATCGCTGAGAAAGAATGCTGTGCAGATTAGCAATTTGAAGAATCTCTTTAAACACAAATATACTACCTCTTTACTTTTTCAGAATTGTAGTTTAAAAATAAAGATTTAAAAAAATAGAGGGGGTTGGAGAGATGGCCCGGTGGTTAAAAGCACTGGCTAGAGGACCCGGGTTCGCTTCCCAGCACCTACACACAGCAGCTAACAGCCATCAGTAATTCCAGTTCTAGGGGATCTCATGCCCTCTTCTGACCTCCGTGGGCATTGCACAACATGGATGCATTTACATACCTACAGGCAATACACTCCTACATATAAAATAAAAATAATAATTTTTTTTTTAAATAGAGTAAAAAAAGCTGGGCATGGTGGCACTTATATTACAAAGATCCACCTACCTCAGCCTCCTGAGTGTAGGGATTAAAGGTATGTACCACCACACTCATAGGATATGGAAATTTGTATGGTGTCATCCAACTGCTCTGAAACCAGTAGGTCATAGCTCTCATTCATACCAGGCTCAAAACCTTAAAATTTGACCAGTTCCAATGTGATAATGGGTTTCTTTTTAAGGTTTTAAAATTTTTATATTTGTCATTACTATGGAGGCAGTGTGTGTATGTGGAGGTCAGAGGACAACTTCATGGAGTTGGTTCTCTCCTTCCACCTGAGGATTGAACATCAGGCTTGGACAGCTAATGCCTTTACCTGTTGAGCCATCTCACCAGCTCAGATTTTCTTTAAATTTTATTCTAGCTGTAAGTCAAGTTTGCCCATTTCTGGGATGCCTAACCCCATCAAGCTCTTTCTGATGGCCAAGATTCTTTAGCTCTTCACATTGTAGACTTAAACAGTTGCCACAAAAACAAGTCTTGTCAATGCACCACACCCAAGTTGTGGTCAAGTATAAGGCTTTTCAGGCCTAGCCACCTTCTTGACTAATCCCCACACTGGCATTTGTCAGGAAAAGCTTGTGCAGTCCCTCTGGCTTTATGCTTTTGTTTTGTTTTGGGGGTTTGTTTGTTTGTTTTCCACTTTGGTTTTTTTGAGATAGGATCTCCCTGTAGCCCCAGCTGACCTAGAACTTGATATGTAGACCAGGCTGGCCTCAATCTCACAGAGATCCGATGGTCTCTGCTTCCCAAGTGCTGGGATTAAAGGCATGCGCCCACACCCAGCTGTGCTTCCATTTTTTAGAATACTCCCACAAGCAAGAAGTAACACCAGGGACAGAATGCATTTTTTTTATACTTGGTTTTCTTTGACACATTCCAACAACATATAATCGTATTGACAAGTGTATATTTTTTCTTACTACCTTCCTGACTAGAAATAAGGACCACAGGCCTCTGTGTATTGAGGGCTGGCTATGTGCCAGCACTGTGGTAAACAACACTGCTTGAAATCACCTAGATCATTCCTTACAGACATTTGAGATCTTTTTGTTTTCACTCTGTGACACATTAAAGAGTGGCTTACCCAGAACACCTTTTTACAACAGGTCTCTAAGCTATATGTGTCTGTCTATGTGTGTGTGCTTGCACACACAGACTGGCACAGATGCACATGTCACTGCATGTGGAAGTCAGAAGACAATTTCCAGGAGTCAGTACAGAACACTCTTTTATATAGGGTGACAACCTAAACTTTGTTCACACAAATACTTCTATTATTTCCTTTGATGTTCTGTGTTGTGTGTTTTTTGAGACAGGGTTCTTTTGAGCCCAGGCTGGTCTCAAACTCACTATGTAGCCAAGTCTAGCCTTGAACTTCAGATCCTCGTGCTTCCACCTCTTCCTGAGTGCTGACATTGTAGATGGTAGACAAAATGATTTGCCAAACACGTTCCCCTCTTATTTCCTAGAACCTATGAATATATTTTGTTACACTACAAGAAGGAATGAGGTTTACAAGTGGAATTAAGGTTGCTAATCAGCTGAATCCAGATCCCGAATTTTCTTGGTGGAGAAAAAAACAATCACAAAGGTCTT